TTTTAATAGGCTCAAGATTGGGCCTTGTGTCCATTCAAAGTATTAGTATAACTGATAAAGTAATGTTGAGAATCATTTCAAATTATTCTCCTCTCTCTGTACTGGAAGCATGTGATTATTGTGAGGATTTAATCAGTTTTGTTCCTCTGATAGGGGGCCCTGTATTGCTTTAATTTCATAACTAGTTCTCAAAGTTCATAAAAACATAAGAATGGCCATACTGGGTCAGACCAAAGGTCCATCTAGCCCAGTATCCTGTCTGCCGACAGTGGCCAACGCCAGGTGCCCCAGAGGGAGTGAACAGAACAGATAATCATCACATGTTCCCTCTCCTGTCATCCATTTCCAGACAAACTGAGGCTAGGGACACCATTCCTACCCATCCTGGCTAATAGCCATTGATGGACCTAACCTCCATGAATCTATCTAGCTCTTTTTTTAACCCTGTTAGGGTATGTCTACACAGCAACGATATTTCAGGATACCAGACGTGCTATTTTGCCATCCCTGTAAACCTCATTCTATGAGGAGTAAGGGATGGCTCAAAATAGCACTTTATTTTGGAATGCGGTGCTGTGTAGACAGTGCCAAATGACAAAATAGCCTATTTTGAAATAGACAACTTACTTTACTTAAGAGTCTTTGATAAGGAACCTTGTCAAAAGCTTTCTGGAAATCTAAGTACACGATATTCACTGGATCCCCCTTGTCCACATGTTTGTTTACCCCTTCAAAGAACTCTAGCAGATCAGTAAGGCATGATTTCCCTTTACAGAAACCATGTTGACTTTCCCCCAACAGATTATGTTCATTTATGTGTCTGACAATTTTATTCTTTACTATAGTTTTAACTAATTTGCCCGGTACTGACATTAGGCTTATCGGTCTGTTATTGCCACGATCACCTCTAGAGCCCTTTTAAAATATTGGTGTCACATTAGCTATCTTCCAATTGTTAGATACGGAAGCTGATTTAAAGGAGAGGTTACAAACCACTGCTAATAGTGCTGCAATTTCATCTCTGGCTTTATCTTGGAGCTACTCCTTACATGAGACTCCCATGCTAGTCAGTGGGCCAAGTCGCAGCCAGTGTTCTTTGTAAGCTGAGCACTTGGGTGACCACCCATGAGAGATCCAAACATTTCCCAGCTGATCAGCAAAGCCCCACAGCTGGCAGCATGTGTTTCTACTGGGTTGCCACAACTGGCAGCATGTGTTTGTACCCATATGTCTGGGTGCACATAACAAAATTTATTCCACAGAGTGGGTAGAAAAATTAAAGGGAACACTGGTCCCAGCCCAAGTGAAGCTGGAGATTTGGCTCATCCTGGCCTGAATCCCCAAGAGACACAATGTTGGCACTGCCATTTCTGTGTCACCTAGAGTTTTTCCCTTTCACTGCTGCAGGTCCTGGCCAAAGTGCAGGTTGGATGCATCTGAGAGTTAGGGCAATGGGTGCCAAATGCTATTCAGTTTCAGATCCCTGCACTGTATTTATCATATTATCTTCTCTAGTTAACACAGGGCCCAGTCATGCTCCAGCTGAATAGAAAACTCCTTTTAAGTTCTACGAGACTGATCAATTTGGTGTTTTATACAATAAGGTGGCTCCAGCACAAGGTGAAACTATGGTTATGGAGGCAAGTATAGGAGCACTGAGCAGCAGAGAAAGGGCTTATGCTGCCTCAACAGGTGCACAAGGAGCCTACAAAACTTCAGACTATTCTGAAGAACTCATGGTCAAGCTTTTGTTGCAACTATGCCAGTGGTTGTAAACGGAGGCATTGCTTTTTTCACGATCACCGCAGGGGAATGGAAGCGTTTTGTGGGCTGCTGTTGGTCTGGCTTGCAGCATTAGGTCTCAAGCCTCTTTCCACGACTCTTCATCAGTGACATATCAGTTGTGAACCCTGGAGACCTGGGAAGATGATGTGATGGGGCGGGGTAGAAAGCGTGTGGATCTGACATCTCAGTCAAAATTATCATGCCTGTTGATGTAGTGGCTGCATGTAAATGTTGGAATAGAATCAGAGAAAGGAGGATGGGGACAGAATTCAAAATGATCTGGACAAATTGGAGAAATGGTCTGAGATGAACAGGATGAAGTTTAATAAGGACAAATGCAAAGTGCTCCACTTAGAAAGGAAGAATCAGTTTCATACATACAGAATGGGAAGCGACCGCCTAGGAAGGAGTACGGCAGAAAGGGATCTAAGGGTTATAGTGGACCACAAGCTAAATATGAGTCAACAGTGTGACACACTTGCCAAAAATGCAAATGTGATGGGCCTTAACAAAGATGCTAACTACCTTACCCATTACAAAGATAGCTTCCCCAATTATCACCCCTAATATCATTAGCTCATAGACACTAACCTCCCCTCCTCACCAACCCTCTGTTCTAAAATCTGATTTGTCAATTTTATACGTGTTCACTTTTTTTTTTATTGTATCCCTTTGGTATATATGGTCATGCCAATTTTCTTCCACAATTTGATCTGAGGAAGTGGGTCTGGCCCACAAAAGCTCATCACCTAATAAACCATCTAGTTAGTCTCTAAAGTGCTGCATAGTCCTGTCTTTTGTTTCAGCATGATTCTAGGAAGCATTAACAGGTGTGTTGTAAGCAAGACACGAGAAGTCATTCTTCTGCTCTACTCTGTGCTGATTAGGCCTCAGTTGGAGTATTGTGTCCAGTTCTGGGCACCATATTTCAAAAAAGATGTGGAGAAATTGCAGAAGGGCCAGAGAGCAACAAGAATGATTAAAGGTCTAGAGAACATGACCTATGAAGGAAGACTGAAAGAATTGGGCTTGTTTAGTTTGGAAAAGAAAAGAGTGAGAAGGGATATGATAGTGGTTTTCAGGTGTCTAAAAGGGTGTCACAAGGAGGAGGGAGGAAACTTGCTCTTCCTGGCCTCTGAGGATTGAACGAGAAGCAATGGGCTTAAACTGCAGCAAGGGAGGTTTCGTTTGGACATTAGGAAAAAGTTCCTAACTGTCAGGATGGTTAAACACTGGAATAAGTTGCCTAGGGAGGTTGTGGAATCTCCATCTCTGGAGCTATTTAAGAGTAGGTTAGATAAATGTCTATCAGGGATGGTCTAGACAGTACAGTAAAACTCCAGTGGTCTGGCATCTGATGGTCCGGTACTTCTGATGGTCCGGCACCATCAGGAACCCAGAAGTGCTCTGGGCAGCCGGACCATTGGAGCTGCTCTGCCCCCAGGTTCCCCGATTCAGTCACTGCTAAAACTGACCAGCTGCTGAATCGGGGACACCTAGGGCAGAGCCGCCGGG